TATATTTTTTATTATCCTATCGAGCCGGTGATAATGTGATACTTCTGCACCAACTTTTTTAATACATCTAAACATACCCTAAAACTAACCAATAATAATGCACGTTATTATAGTAAAAAATATAGAAATTTTAGGGTATTTTTAGTTGTATCAAAAAGTAGGTACAAATGAATATTTGCACCTCGCCACTGTTACGTGTGATCAGTGTTGTCAATTTTATCGGCCAAACCAAATTTTTTTGACCGTTTCGGCCAATGGCCGGTCAAAAAAAACATATAAACTCGGCCAAAAAACATAAACTTGGTTGAATTGACCGTTTTTTTGCCGGCCAAAATTTTGTTTGGCCGACAAAATTGCCATTATTTCGTGTGATAAACAGCCAATAATAAATCACAGTTTGATGTTACGTGACACGATCAAGATTCAAAACAAACGTTTTAGTCAAAAATTGCTTATTAAAAAATTTTTTTGTTAACCTTTAACCTTAATCTAATCCCAATACAGTAAAAATTTTTTTTAATTTTTTTTGTATTATACAAATTTAAATAAAGAAATAAATTTTCAATTATTGTTGCAGATTAAAATGAAATAAAATGAATCTGGACAGACTACAGTTTCCAACTGTCTTGGCAAATATTTAATCGACGATATACAATTCGCCAAATATGAAGGCTAAGCTAATTAACTAGTTCGGCCTTAAAAAAATTTGTGTTCGTAATTCGGATTTTATAGTATAAACTTTACAAAGCTGACAGCCGTTTTTTTTTAAAAAAATTACCTATTATGGTATGGCCTAAATACGATCACTAAAAATAGTCAGTAAGATATTGCATAACTCTTTACCAGCATTTATTTGTCACGTTTTATATGTTGGTAAAATAACGAGATTCTGTAATAAATACCGGCATTAATAAAAAGACCCGGGTCACAAAAAAAGCTCATAAAATACCCAGGTATATTTGTATAGTGGAGAATCTTTGCAAACAAAAAAAAAAATTCAAGTGCATACACCTTTCATTTATGATAGGTAGTTTAGAATTTTTAAAAAGAATTGTCCATGATTAATATTTTACTGAAAAGGGAGTAGTGCGCTACGGTATATACAATAAGCAATATAGTATCTGGTATATAATTCATCACAACAATATTAAAATCCTTTGATCTGTTCTTAGTAAGTATACTTTTTTACGCATATGATGTTGATCATACCCGTTCAATGGTGTTGAATATTTTGGTCAACGTACTGGTAATAATTTTCAACGCCATCGAACAGGTATAAACGTAATTATTTTCGCTTTACACTTACACGAAACACACTGAATTCATATTGAACAGGTTTTCTTGAACATTAATACTACACCAAAGTTATTCAATAAATTAATTTAACACTTTCAGGATATTTTATTTGGTATTTGTGTGTCAACATATCTATCATTTTCTAATATGGTAACAATTACATAATTTTTAACATCCGATTTAATTGAAATTACACAAGAACAATGGATGGTTCTTCGCATAATCGAAGACGTGTCGACCCAAATGCAGTATATACTCAACCATCTGGTCACAAATATAATAATGCTGAGAGGACTGATTATGTTGGAATTACCATAAGCGATGATTATTCACAAAAGCAAATGACTTCACTTCCATTAATGTCAACGTCATCTCCCTCACACCAACAGCAACAATTAAATCCACAGCATCAACCACTTTCTGCACCGAATCCGTCTCAACATAAGGAGGCCCCTGAGGGTCGTGGTAGAAGGCGTTCAGAAAACTATATTCAAAATTCCTCTTCCGGACATTATTCTGTAA